AGGACTGGCCTAGGGGTATTTTAAATTGGTTTTAACAAAATTTTTAGTAGAAGCGGCCTAGTTAAATATTTATTTTTAATCACTTTTAAATTTTGTATTGTATTGTATTATTGTTTTTAAACTGGCTGTAAGCCGCCCTGAGTCCTCCGGGAGAAGGGCGGGGTATAAATTTAATAAAACTAAACTAAACTAAACTAAAGAAAGAAAAAAATCAAAGAAAAAGTGCAAGAAAAAACATTAAAAGAAAAAAAGTATAAAGAAGTAGCTTCTAATATTCTCCACCTTGTTCTAAAACTACATATTACTGTTCTTTCTATAATCTATCCTGTCTAACTCATCAAAACTATAAGTCATAAGTTCATTTTTGTGTAAAACATCCATAAGAGCTTCCAGTCAGCGATCAATGTAGATAATGTCTTTTCTCTAATCAAGTTAATTTAACCATTCCAGCAAAATCTGTCAACTTCACCAACCATTCCTCCAAACTGGGACAAAAAATCTTAAGTATTCTGCTTTCCTGTCTGTTTACTATTAGCCATGATAGATGGCTGAGAAGATTACGTTTAATTTCCTGCACTTATGCTACTACTAGTTTGATAGAATATCTTTTGTAGTGAATTTTCAGATATGAAGTTTTGTATCTTCATGTTCTAAAACATGATTTTGATGAAATTATAGTATTAGCTAGATTATCCAGTTCTCTACCTCCATTATTCCAGCTGTTTTTTCCAATTTCATGTTATTGTAATCTGCTAACTTCAGATACAATATAAGATAATCAAATGCTGTCTTGAATATGAAAGTATGACAAAATTATGTCTGGTTAAATTACAAATTCTCTTACAAGCAGATTCATCCAGTTGGCATGGTGAAGAAACTAGCTATTTTTAACTTCAGTAGACATGTCTTCACATAAGAGAGAATTAGACTTTTTGAAAATCAGTGGGCAGAAATGTGCAACCTTTTTCTTTGATTATGTAATGCCAGAATGCAGATTAGGAATCTTTTAAGTATTCCCATATCTGAATGCACAGATAAAAAAAATCAGCTTCCCGTTTCATGGCAATCACAATGGAAGTGTAATCTTAAACAAGCAGCCTTCCTTTGTATTTTTTGTATAGTCCCAAGAAAGATTTTCACCAGTTTAAATTAAGCAATAATGAAATTAAATCAATAGATTTATTTAAATTCACATGTTAACTTTTGAAATTAGAACAGCTGAACTATACAAAAATGAAAGAGTCATGTTATCAATACCTTTTTTCTGGCTATTCTAGTAGTCTCTCCCGTAAACATTTTAGTTTCTAGAGCAGGGGTGTCAAACTGCCGGCCCACGGGCCGGTTTCATCATACTGGAGCCGCGCCCACCCCATTGCCGGCAATGGCGAAAAAGCTCCGATACGTCGCGCGACATGACATCGCGAGTTTGACATGCCTGTTCTAGAGCTAGGATAATACTACATCCTTCTTACCCTCACCTCTAGGGCTTACCATGGTAATCTGCTCCCTACTGGCCTCCCTGCGTATCTGCCTGGCACAACATCCACCTCTGGTCTCCTTCTTCTTCTGCCTCCTTTCACTGGCTGTTGCCTTTGTTGGTTTTGCTCTCTACATCCAGTCACATGATATTCATAATCCTGACATCAAAGAGGTGAGCTAGAGATTAGAAATTTAAGTAAAAACTTAGGCCAAAACATGTGATGAAATTGGATTTCAATTGTTAAGTGAAGACATTAGAAAAAAACTTTGGAAGGATAAAGGAAAAGACAGTAATAGAGACACTATTTTTTCCCTTGCTGTTTTCCAGGTACAGGTTGATTCTCTAATGAAGGGATAGTTGTACTGATGTTTTCAGACTGATTGACTACAATTCCATTTCTCTATCATTGTCTTCCAGCTTACAATTTAAAAAATTAAAATAGTTTTTTTCCCCAAAAGAAACCTTTAAAATTCAAATATTTCGTTCTGCCACTTGGAGCAGAGAAAGTAAAAAAAAAAAAAAAATTCAAAACTGCAAAATTTTAAATTCACGTTTAGCTATTGCTATCTACAATTCAGAAATCCAGAAACATCCTCATTATATTATGTACCTCTATTCTGAATAACAATTAAAGGATTTTAAAGGTGAGGTCATATGGAGTTGAATAGATATTTTAAAGCAGGGGTGTCCAAACTTTTTTCAAAGAGGGCCAGATTGGATGAAGTGAACGTGCTGGAGGGCCGAACATTTTTCCAAACATTCTTTGAACCATTACAATTAAATGCAAATGAATTATTGTATGCCTCTTTCCTCTCCCTCTCTTTCCTCTTTCTCTCTCTCTCTCTTTCCTTTCCCTTTCCTCTCCCCTCTC